AGTTCTACGCATTAAAATCGATACTGTGACCAACTTTGAGCCCTTAATAAATATGAGATACGATTTCATAGATTTTGAACAAGGATTAAATTATTGATAGCATTGTAGGGACACTACATTTTTAATCATTCATTTTTGTCAATATAATTTTTTATCTTATTCAAATTACAATGAGACATTATAAAAAAAAAGGACATTCACCGATAATAACATCCCCTTTATTTAAAGATTCATTAATAATTAAAAATAATTTCATAGATAAAATTATAAATCCTTTTTTTATATGTAAAGCCTGTAAACTTTAATTTTTATTTTATATTGAAGTTCATTAATAAAGTATATTATATAATCTGCCGATTTTAAAATTATTTTTTATCAAGCCAAAAAACACCTGACCGGAAACACCCCCATTGTATCTGGGATTACTTTGGGTATAGTATAATTCCCAGAAAACGGTTCTCGTTATTTTCAGGAGGAAAAAATAAAGATAATGCATTATAATTGATAAGATTATCTACAAGGTTTCCCAGTTAAAAAAGGAAAATGTTCGATCAAAAAAGGAAAGTATCATTCAAAAAAGGAAAAATTCCAATCAAAAAAGAAAAGTTGTCAATCAAAAAAATAAATCATTTTTTTAAATATTTTTTTCCCTGTGAATTTTTAGTTTTTCTATCTTTCTTTCTTATTTTATTTCTAACTTTTTGCGATCTCTTTAAGTCATTTTAAATCTTTAATTTTCTTAATGCCCTTCTCATTTTTTATTCTTTTTTGTTTTTTTTAAATGATTTATATATTTTCCCTGTCATTTTTTTTCACTTCTCCATTTTTATATCAAACAATTCTTTTCCCTTTTTCATCCTATATAATAATTTTTTGAATTTTTCCCCTTATATATTTATTTTTTAAAATTTCACTTAATTTTTATTTCTCTTTGGCAACCAAATTTTTTTTTATTAAAAATTTTGCATTCCAAATTATTTCACTTCAATTGCTGAATTAAATTTATCGTTTAGTGATAATGTAGATGTACTATTTTAAAATTAAATAAATTTTAACTATAATACTATGTAAATTAATAAAATATAATAGTTAGCGTCAATGTGTATTTTTTACAACTTTAAATCATTTTTTGATCGCGTTTTTTAAAATTAAAAAATCGGACTTTTTCTGAAATATATTATATCATGTTTGGAATCTTATCTTATGAATTGTAAATAATTTTGCTGTTAACCTTTGAGTCATTTATAATTTATATAAAAAATATATAGAAAATCTAATATAAATTATATTAAGTTTATAAGTTCATGGAAAAATAGTCTGAATGATGGAATACATTTTCGGTAAAATAGATTTTAAAATTTTAAAAAACGAGCTCAAAAAATGATTAAAAGTTGAAATAAGTCGGAAAAAACATATTGACGCTAACAATCATATATATTTTTAATTTTGAAATTTTAATATTTATACAACATGCATTCAATAATTCTGAATATCACGTCAATTCGGCGCAGTGTCAATTCAGCGTGTCGACCATTCGACACAGAATCATTTATAAATTTATTAGTATAAAAAAAGGATGATTAAATAGAAGTCATTTTGAATGTTGATCCATTATTTTTTCAAATTTACAAATATATTAAACTATTTTAAATGTTATCTATTTTAAAAATGTTCTTTTAAACATATTTTAAGCATGTTTTATGAATATAGATTATATTTTCTATAGTCATTTTTTTAAAATAAATAAAAAAGGTTGTGCGTTAATTCGTTTTTGATTAAGGATTTTTAATAAATCTATGAGTCAGACTTAATTAAAAAATTTTTTGGATCAACATTAGTGTTATACGGATTTGGGTCTATTTTTAAAAACGGCCGATTAAGATTTTAGCCAAAATAATATGTAAGATTTGAGATAGAAAACCAAACCTTTCTTACATCTATGCGTGAAATCTCCAAGCTTACATAATATTGGCAAAAACTTAATCGAGTCCTTTATCAACAAAACTAATCAACATACCCTTAACATGGTAAATTGGTCCACCAAAATCGGTATAAATATTGGTTTGTTAATTTTTTTTTGATATTATTAAATTATTTATTGATATTAAGCATTTAATAAATAAAATTACGAATTTTTTTAAAAAAAAATATGAAGAAATAATTATTAGAACCAACATTCAAAATGACTTTTATTTAATCATCCTTTTCTTTATACTAATAAATTTAATAATAAATTGCAACTCTATTAAATACTCGCCGAATTTGCGCCGAATTGACGTGGAACCATAATTCTGAGCAGTAAATAAATTTTTTATAAGTATTTTTAATGATATTCATTGATCTATGAATATAATTAAACGTAAAAATGAGGTAAATGTTATAATCAAGAATTTCAGTCTTTTTTGTCATTCACTCCATTTGATGAGTATATCTTTTAAAATGAAATTTTTTTTGTTCAAAAAATTAAATAATGAAGATATGGTAGTAACAAAGAAAATAACATTAATAGTGTAATGAAAGCTCTAATGATTGGCGCGTCGAAATAGGATAGTATCATAAATAGCATTATGTTTAAAATACGCTATAAAACGGTGAGAAATATAAAATATTCCCATCTCAAAATGTAATATAATAGTTTACCCAAAGGAGGTTCACATGGACGCAAGAAATTAAATCAAGAACAGGAAGATTATAAATTAAATTGCATAAATTTGGATTGCACTTTATCCTTAAAAAGCTATGTGAAATGATTAAAAAAGATATGATGTAGAAATATCAAAAGACACGGTATTAACATTAAGGTTACTATCTAAATTTAGGGGTATCATTACATTCAGTTAGAGAAAATACAGAATCAAATATCGAGATGCAAGATGCAACCTTATAAGAAAGAAAGAAAGAAATACTAAATCATTTTGAAGAAGGTAATAAGATGAATATGATTTTTATGATGGATAATGTTCCATTTCATAATCATACAATTAGAGAATCGTTAGAAAGGAGATGGCATACAATAAAGTATTTACCACGATACACTCCTTATCTTAATCCCATTAGAAATGTGTTTTTCAATGGAAGGAGTTTGTCAGAAATCAAAATCCTAATACCGAGTAGGAATTTGTTAGGCATGGAGAAAGAGGAATATCTGAGGAGAATGCACGGAATTATTTTAGAAATATGGAGATCTATATTTCAAAATTTAGAAGAGAGGAAATTATTAATGATTAATATAAATTTTGTTTCTTACTATATATATATATACATTGTAAAATTATAATGAAATAATTTGATATGCAAAAAATATTAATAAAAAAGATTTTGATTGCCGATGAGAAATAAAAATTAAGTGAAATTTAAAAAATAAAATATAAGGAAAAAAAATTCATAAAAAGTCAAAAAATTGTTATGTAGGATGAAAGAATTGTTTGACATAAAACTAAAGAAGTGAAGAAAATGACAGAGTAAATAAATGATATTTAAAAAGACAAAAAAGAATGATCAAAATGAAAAGAAGAAAAATATTGAGAAAAGGAAAAAGAAAGATTTAAAATGACTTAACTCGCAAAAATTTTAAAATAAGAAGGAAAAATTAAGAAAAATTGTCAAGATAAAAAATTTAATGATTTACTTTTTTTGATTCATACTTTTCCTAAGCTTTTGAAACTTTTCGTTTTTTGATTGGACGCTTTCCTTTACTGGACTTTTTCTTTTTTGTTTGACATTTTTCCTTTTTTGATCCAACTTTTTCCTAAGCCTTTGATACTTTTCTTTTTTATTTTGACACTTTTCCTTTTTTGATTGACTATTTTCCTTTTTTGATTGACTATTTACCTTTTTTGATTGATAAATATCCTTTTTTGATTTGAATTTTTCTTTTTTTTGGATGGGAAACCCTGTATATGACTAAAATGAATCTTATTTGAATACTTATACTATTATTTTAACTAAGAAATGTTGTTAACTTAACGAATAAAAAAAGGTTTTCTAAGAATACTATAATAGTAAGATATATGAGAAAGAAATTCTACGTATTTCTTATTAAAAATATTACAGGTAAATTTTTAAAAATTAACTCTGTAACGTTGGAAGAAGGATATGGAACACTAAAATCCTCAGCCGATGATTATATGATTTTTTTAGTAAGTAGATTTAGTGCGCTACATTCAAGTCCGTTTAATAACATTAGGAATTATTCCTTATAAAATAATTTTACGAGGTGAATACAAAAAATAAATTAGTGCTCATTTTAATTTTATAAAAAGTAAAATTTAAAATAGATATAATTAATATTTATTACAAATAAGTGTTCAATAAAACCAATATTCTAAAATTATTGTATATATTATTTTCATTACAAAAGTTGAATTAAAATTTTTATTGATTATAAAATATTTTTGTAAAAAGTTTTTATCTTTTCTACAATCAGATTATTTCAACATAAATAGAATTCCGATATAAAAAATATTTATGATTACAAATAATTGTTTTGCTTATAAATATAGAGACCTGCATAGGTACCATTTGCACAGCTCGGCCCGGATTATTTTTTTAAAAAAGATTTTCAGGGCCGGCCCGGATTTTATTCAAATGTGTTAATTTTAAATTTTTATAGATAATAATGGAAATTTAAAATATATGTTTTAAAATATACGGCACGGCTCGGGTATTTTTTTAAAAACTATTTTCAAGCCCGGCCTAGATATTTAAAATTTTATTTTGGCCCGTTTAAAAAAAATTAAAATACTACCCGGTGATTAGGACGTGCAGGCCTCTGATATATACATTAAATTGTACGGTTTATCTATATATTACATTATATTTAAAATCACAAATTACTAATATAGGTTTTTCTTCTTTTAATATTATATAAATGTAATGATTGGTTAAATTCTTTAAGGAAGTTATAAAAGGAATAATAATTTTTTGAGTCTTTTGAAGATTAAAATCTCCTCGAATTATATAAATTTTTAAAAAATCCTAAATTTATTTACCACAAATGATAGGCACAGAACTTGCATCCTTTTATTTATATAAACTTCCCTTTTTTTTAAATTATGAATAGGCAATTAAATCCAATACGCTTCTAAACTGGAGACACTATAAACTTTATCGACGGGAATCAAACCTACACCCCATCTATTAACTAATTTCATTTTGTTTTCATTATTATGTACTGCATCGTTTGAATTTCCCGTTTCTTCCTCTTTATCAGCTTCGTATTTCTCAAAACTATCACTGTACACATTATTGTATCGCGAATTTTCGCACTTCTCTTGATAGTCCTTTTCGTTGTTATTAAAATGATCCATTTTATACATCCGATACACTGTGATCTTAATTTTGATGTTAGTAAAGTGGGAGTTGTTCCAGTTCTTATCAGCCCATATTTTAAGACGGTTATTGGTAAATTTGAGAGTCTCATTCTTCGTAGTATCTCCATTCATCTCATCATCATTATTATGATTATTTTTTAATATTTTGACAGGCGCTAGAACCTCTAGCTCATCTCCGTCTGGCACTTTATCGACTAAGTGTTGATACAATACTTGAGAAATGAAAGGGGTATCGGCATAAAGAGGAGTAATAGCGTGGCCTATGTAACGTTTTATGAGAAAGCCGTAACCTTTAATTGGCGAGGTTAAATGAGAGGAGTGATTGCCTGTGATAACGTTTGATTTTGTTTTCAAGAATTTGATTTTGTTTTCAAGAATTTGATTTTGTTTTCAAGAATTTGATTTTGATATATAATATTTAAGTTCAACCCAAATCGTGATTTAATTAAAATTAAAGATATAATAATAGACCAGATTAATTTTTAGATTTAATAATATTTTTAATTTAGAATTGCAAGATTTATAACTTTTGTAAGTAATGAAACATTTTTCATTACTAAAGTCTAGAGCCATGCATGTTTTTTGGACGGTGTGGGATTATTTTTTTAAAAATATATTGGGTCTGAACAGACTTGTCAAAGTCAGACTTGATTTTTTTTAAAATTGTTTAATTCCTAAAAGCGAAAACTTCAATTATTTACGGTCGAGTCGGACCTCGAAAAAGAGGTTCAATGCAAGGCTCTATTCATTACCAAAAATTTAACCCATTTAAAAAAATTTATTATTATATTTGGATAATTGCTCTATTTTAAACCGGCAAAACGCTTGCAAATTATTTTAGAACAACTTTGCAGAAATAAATTAACTAGCTCCTTAATATTCAGAACGCGCATGTAGATTGAGTTCAATTTTTGCTATTACCCAACTACACTTAGTATTAAAAAATCAATAACTTATTAATTACCACTATTGACGTTATATGTGGCAGAAGAACTGTAATTATTGTGGTCATCGAGCCAAGATTTATCTACCGCAGCTAATAGCGCTATATTTTCTTTATCGCCTATACATTCTTTTATGTATTCGATGCGTAATGTTGTGTGGATGGTAGAATCGTATTCAATTAAGTGATCTATCAGTTGAGCATTTTTTCTGATATCTATAATTTCTATCTTTGGATCGGTGTGAGATACCGATTCACTATTTTTAAGAAAATTTTCATTCCTCTTAACGGTAGCTCCATATATGCAAACTAATTTAATTGGTAATAAAATATTTTTGTAAATGCCATAAGAAAAAAAACTCTAATATTTCTTGAATTCATTCATTCTTACGTATAAAAAAACCTGAATAAATCTCAAAATTAAAGATAAGCATACCGGTGAAAGTGGGATCGCAAAACCCGAGTTTTTTGTAGGCATCGATGCGGTAATCTACAGAATATAAGGCTAAAATCCTGTGACCCACGTGGGACATTAGAGTTTGCCATAGTAATTTTCCATACCCTTTAAACCTGAATTCCTTTTTCACTACGTAGAGTCCGACCAAAGCTAAGTGTTCGTCTATTCGCATGCCCAAAATGTTCCCTATTATATATGTAATTAAACACTATTTCAAAAATTAATAACGCAACATAAAATTATAATATAGTTAAATTATATTTAGATTTAATTTGAATTGTGATGAAGAAAATCTATAAAATGATATCGTTAATTAATTTTTGAGCATATATGGTTTGAAATATATTTTATGTAATTATTAACTTTCATTCATTCTTTCTAAAAGTATATAAAAGCATATATACAGAGTTGGGCATATACAGAATCTAGATAAGATTCTTTATAAAAAATTGGATTTTATTAAAAGATACTAGCATCTTATTTAAAATAAAAAGATACAAGATAAAAGATAAAAGATATTGTATATTTTGCTAAATGAGAATATCTTAAATACAAGTTACTTTCTATAAAATTATCATTACCAATTAAATTAGAATAATTGTGATAAAATATATTTTTTATTATTTATTGATGAAGAATATAACATAGGCTTATATAATAAATGAATATTTACAATAATTAATAAAATATTAGATGAGTTAATTATAATAATCAGGCATTTAAATATTAATTTTAGCTCATTCAAACCATAGACAAAGAAAGGATACACTGGTATTTTTATGAGAGTTGAAATATTAATTTGCAAATATGTATTTAAAATTTATTAAATCAAATTGTTATTGTTATAGATGTTAAATAATAAAATGAAATTTTAATATTAAATAAAATTAAATTAAATATTTATTAAAATAAATTTAAAAAATAATGATTAAAAAATATAATATAAAATCAATTAAAATAAATTATAATATTAATTAAAATAAATTATAATATTAATTAAAATAAATTATAATATTAATTAAAATAAATTATAATATTAATTAAAATAAATTATAATTTTAATTAAAATAATTTTATAATATTTGAATAACCTTTTATAAAATACTAGAAGATAGCCCGTCAAAAATGACGGGGAATGAGAATTTTCTTCTTACTTTTATGATAGTTGTTACCTCTTATTTGAAAATAATATCCAATTATTATTCTTTAATCCTCCCCCCCCCTTCAGGCCAGGTTTAATCCATTAAAACTAAGTGTAAATACTATGGTTTGGTAAAATTAAACTTAAAGCTTTTACTTGATAATACAAATATTATTTGTTAAATATTACTGATAATTTATACCTGAATATAATAATTTTGGTAGTTGAGAATTGAAATAAAATATTTAAATAATCATAATGTTAAAAATACAATCAAAATAAGATTTTCATGGGCCTAGGTTTTTTGATCAGGCCGAGCCCAGGTCTGCAAAAAAATTTTTTAGGCCAATGTCTGACTCATAGTTAATAATAAAAAAATTCTCAAGCATTCTAGCTCATAATATTTTTGAAAAATTTTCCCCAAGCCCAGCCTAATATAATTTATAAAAATATTTCTCAAACCCAGCCCAACCTATAAAAAAATTTTCCCAAGCCTGGCCAACCCATAGTAATTTTTAAAATTTTTCCCAACCCGGGAGATAGGTAAATCTCTAAAACCATATCTATTTTTTATTCTATTTTAACCCAGCTCACCCCTACTTCAGACAAAGGCCAACCCATTAAGACTGAGAATGAATACTATTTTTGAATAAAAATATATTTAAATTAGCTTTTACCTGAGGGCCATATAAATATTTTGTGTTAAATATTACACCTATGCCTAATATTAAAAAAATTCACAAGCCAGGTCCACGCACTTGGGAAAATTTTCTCAAAAATACCATAATAATTTTGATAGTTGAGAACTGAAATAAAATATATAAAAAGTCACAATGCATTTAAAAATACAATCAGAATATGAAATTTGCATGAGCCTTGGTTTTTGATCAGGCCTGGCAATGTCTCCAAAAGAAATTTTCAGGCCAATTTCTAACCCATATTTAAAATTAAATTTTCAGGAATCTAAGACTATATTAATTTTAAAAAATGTTTCCCAAGCTACTTCCAAGTCCATATTAATTATGAAAAATATTTCCCAAACCCAGGAAAACCCAAAATAATTTATTTTTTCCTTGGATTCAGAAAAATAAGTGTGAAATAGGGGTTTATAAGAATTAAATCTGTCTAATATGTATATATTTTTTTGCCATTTATATTATTGAAAAATTTTTTCAAAATTAGGATCAAATGAAGGGGAAATATCTGATTTACCTATCATTCTATTGGTTAGCTCCTGGTATTTATATGAAAATCATGAATACATATTAAAGTACCATGCTAAAAATATGTTCATCCTAATTTAAATTTTAAACAAACCACCACCCTTCCAAATGATTTATTACTTAGTTACAAAATATAAATTTAAATTTAAGACATTGTTATTAAATTACAATAGAAAAAATAAAAAGATATTCTAAGTTAACAAATAATAGGAGGTTAACTTTAATCATAGTCAAATTATATATAAGTAAAACAAAAAAGTTATACATTTAATCAAAAATGTTATAATAAGTTATGAAAAATATATATTCTTACAATTAAATTTTGAAGTTATGAGAAAATATACAAAACTATGGAATGCATGTAGAAAGGCCAATTTCAGAAAAGATAAGAGAGATGCAAATATTTACTTTGCATAAAAATTACCTAATTAAGAGATATAAAGTTGTATAAAATTCAATGTGGAACGGATCCTTTTTAAGGGTTTTAACAAAAACTCTCATCTAGCAAGAATAAATTTTTAGATTATAAAATACAAATGAATAAAAATTTAATTTAAAAGACTTTTTAATTGTACACATAAATTAAAATTACTAAATATATACTTTATTAACATATTTTATAAAAATAATGGAAAATTTTAGAATAACCCCAAATAAATAAAATTTTTTAAATAACACCTTAAATTAACGATTTTTTAAATATATATTATAAGTGTGATATGAAAAGTGGGACATGAGAGCGTAACGCTATTTTTGTGACAAGGCTTTTATATATATTATAGATATCGAGAGTTCTACTTATGACCTTTTATAAAATATATCACGAGTTTTACATATGACCTTTTATAAAATATATCACGATTTTTACTAACTTATTTCATTTTGTTTTATTCAAATTTATATTATTTTATAATACTATATAAACTTAAAATTTTAGATATATTGAATCACAATGTAAAAATCGTTTTTATTTTTAATAAAATAGTTTTTTCAATTATAGATAGCCATCATGTGTTTCCATCAGTTATTATTTAATCAAATTTTCGAATAATTTATCATTAAGCCTTTGCCGTTTCGGCATATTTAACATTGTGCCCAAGTTGAATAACCTTCCAACTGGAGCAGATGAAGGTATTACAGTATTATATTTTAAAAAAATTTCCTTAATTGAAAGGATCAGTGGCGTAGTCAAGATTTTCAAATGGGGAGGGGGGGGGGGGGGGGGGTAAAAAATTTAAAGTTGGCTGAACAAGCCCTAATTCTAAAATATGACAATGTTTTGTGAGTTATTAGTGTTTGACTTTAACCAGTATAGTAGCCAGTATAAAGGAAAAAATTATAACAAGATTTTGGCCAACCTTATGATTAAAAGGTGACTGAAAGTATTTATTCAGTAATTTTTAACAATATTTGTATATTAATTTAATCCGTTGATAGACAGTATAAGGAAAAAATTGCCAAAATATATATATATATATCGTGCTAAAATGAAAAATATAAAAAACTTTATTTATATGGCGTGCGTTAATATTTAATGCCTGACTTCAATTCCTCACTTAAATATGAGAACCAGAAAAGAAACTGAGTTATAAACAAAATGAAGCCTATGATATCACAAGCATGAGGTGAGTTAAACTTGAAAACACTAATTCTGAAACTTATAATAAGCCATAAGTAGGGCTTTATTAGTATATTTTATTTCTTTATGATCTATGGTAGTTGGTTTAAAGAGGAAAAGTATTATTGGTAAAAAATAAAAAAATGTCCAAATTAGCATCATGCCAGAACGGAGAATATAGAAGTTCTAAATATCTGGTCTACGTTAATATTCAATAATTCTTTTCAATTTCTCCAGCCATTAAAAAATAACCGAATTATGAACCAAGAACCTATGATATCACGTTGTAAGCGTAAAGTTGGCCAAACATCTGGAAGCATTATCTTGGAAATTGTCAATAATTAGTGCGTATTTCATACTTCTTTACTGCTTCAACCCGTTTGGTAGATTGTTTTAATTTTTGGCAAATTAAAAAAAAATCACCAAAATTGGCATCCTGCTAGAAGGAATATATAGAAACAATGAAATGATTAGTACTTACTAGTTCATCGATCAATTTTTTTCAGCCAATAAATAAAAACCAGTTATAAGCGAATTATAAATTACGGCAAGTCTTAGGCTGAATCTTAAATATCAAATTTTAAATTATCAAAAATCAATTTAGTCTGAATACATTAAGGTTTCTCTCCCCGATTCGAGATATTTTTGAATTTTATGATTCTATGATCTTCCTATAAGTTATTTTTTCTTTTCAGTTTGTTTAAAAAATATTGAAGTAATTTAAATCTCATTGAATAAGATAGAACGGAAGATTCTATAAGCACAAAAGAAATTAAAAAAATTAAAATCAGCCACAACCCACCTTTAAAGTAATTAACTTATACTGCAGTTCTTGGGCATAGTGTCTTTTTTTTGCCCCGCTCTTTTTCTTAAAGCCTATGGACGTCTGTAACATTTTTCGAAATGTTGCGCGTACAAGTACGTACGGCTTGCCCACAAACGTGTAGAGGGCTCCTCATATTTTTTTTTAAACTTTCACCCCAATTAACTTATGTTCCAATTAGATGGAAATGAGGAATACCTAGGGTAGCTATGTT